ATATATATATATATATATATATATATATATATATATATATATATATATAACTAGAAGCAGTGGGCGACTACGGAAAAGAGAAAGTACGCTATTGCTCCAATGACGTCTTAAGTCCAAATTATTTTTTTTTGGAATTCGCATTTTCCAAAGTTCAACAGCCACATTGTTCTTAATTAAATTAGACTGATTCGTTACGCATCATATGTTTGCGGTCAAGTTACCAGAAACAAAATAGGTTATTATGTATGTCCGTGAACTTCTAAGATAATTTTTAAAAGTCTTCCCAGAGTTTGTGTGTATTATAACACTTAGAATCTAGACTATAAGAGAGCCATCATTTTTCCCATCTGATACCCAGACCTGTGGACCACGCTCAAGCGCTTGTGGCATGTGTTAACTTCTGCTGGTTTGGTCAAGCTAGTCGTCTGCTGGATATTTTGTGTTCTTTCTATCCCAGCGGTGGGGAAAATTTATTTTTATAAAAAAAAAACGGTAAGAGAAAGAAAGATTGTATTCGATAGTATCTATTATTATGTGTGTTTAATTAACTTCAAAAAGATATTTGACTTTAAAAAAATGTGCGGAAAGATAACGATAAAAATTCTAAAATTGAATTATACAAAAATTCTAAAATGAAAATTAGACCATATACATTAAATAAAATCATAAAAAAATGAAAATCAGAGCATATTTTAAAACAATTGTCTTGAAGAATAGAGTGCGGTGAATTTACTCGACTTGAGTAAATGACTTCAATGACTAAATGTAAACAAAAGTAGTCAGAGTGTGACGAGTAAATGACTTCAATGACTAAATGTAAACAAAAGTAGCCAGAGTGTGACGAGTAAATGACTTCAATGACTAAATGTAAACAAAAGTAGTCAGAGTGTGACGAGTAAATGACTTCAATGACTAAATGTAAACAAAAGTAGTCAGAGTGTGACGAGTAAATGACTTCAATGACTAAATGTAAACAAAAGTAGTCAGAGTGTGACGAGTAAATGACTTCAATGACTAAATGTAAACAAAAGTAGTCAGAGTGTGACGAGTAAATGACTTCAATGACTAAATGTAAACAAAAGTAGTCAGAGTGTGACGAGTAAATGACTTCAATGACTAAATGTAAACAAAAGTAGTCAGAGTGGGACGAGTAAATGACTTCAATGACTAAATGTAAACAAAAGTAGTCAGAGTGTGACGAGTAAATGACTTCAATGACTAAATGTAAACAAAAGTAGTCAGAGCGTGACGAGTAAATGACTTCAATGACTAAATGTAAACAAAAGTAGTCAGAGTGTGACGAGTAAATGACTTCAATGACTAAATGTAAACAAAAGTAGTCAGAGTGTGACGAGTAAATGACTTCAATGACTAAATGTAAACAAAAGTAGTCAGAGTGTGACGAGTAAATGACTTCAATGACTAAATGTAAACAAAAGTAGTCAGAGTGTGACGAGTAAATGACTTCAATGACTAAATGTAAACAAAAGTAGTCAGAGTGTGACGGGTCGTGAGTGAGTTATTGTTTACGTACGTCTGGAGATGTTGTCACGTATGTTTTTGGTAATTAGTTTATCCTCACCTCCTTCGTAACAAATGGTCATAGATTCACACCTCAACTCATACACCATCCCAAAGTCACACCCATATCCCATTTTATTCACATTTCTTATTTTAGAAATCAAATATCCTTGTCACTATTGACGTTATTTTCATAAACTAAACGTGGGGGTAGCGGCCATAACGGGTAGGAAATGTTGGGAACACACACTTGAGCTGCTGTAGACATAACGGGTAGGAAATGTTGGGAACACACACTTAAGCTGCTGTAGAAAAAGTATGAGCCTGTAGGCCCATACATGGTTTATTAAACATTTCTACGAGTAGATATTTGAAAAAATGCCGAATTTATATTAACCAACAGCCTGGAATAAGTGATTCCCAAAGTTAAAAGTCTAAGAAGAAAAGTCTTTAATTAAACAAATATTCCAACTAGGGCATCACTCTCTTGTCACTATGCCCCAAAAAGTCAGACCCCCACCAACCCCCATCTGCTGAGGGCACCTATCTAGTGCAAGACAGTAAACACATGATTAATGTCTGTGTGGACTGAGGTCAGTAGCTGGCGTGTACTCAACACAGTGAGTGATGGACAGAGAACAGGTGTGGTTAGTGGTTAGTCGGTGTACTGACGGCTGGGGGGGGGGGACTCATGCGGACGTACTTTAAGTTCTGTTAGTGGAGCATAGTCAATCTCACAACTCTACTGACTGTACACACATTATTTACTCAATGTGCAAACATTATCAACTGAATGTGCATACATTATATACTGGCTGTGCATACATTATTTACTCAGTGTGCATACATTATCAACTGACTGTCCATACATTATCAACTGACTGTCCATACATTATCAACTGACTGTCCATACATTATCTACTGAATGTGCATACATTATCTACATTATTTCACGAAATCGCTTGCCCAGACCAAATAACTAGACCGTGGGCTATGTACAGAGATACAAAACTTTTCAAAACAAAGAACTCACTGACGCTACATGCACTCTAACCTACTGATATATTCACCTTACGAGAAAATACATCCGCCCTAACCTACATTATAAACCCCACCAGAAAATATATCCGCCCTAACCTACATTATAAACCCCACCAGAAAATATATCCGCCCTAACCTACATTATAAACCCCACCAGAAAATAGAAGAAAGAAAAAAAAAACAGCAACACTCCGACACATCACGGACAGGAGAAGATCCAGAGAGAATGTCAATGAGATGGTTGTATCCAGGTGGTATGTTCCCAGGGTGGGGGGGGGGGAGGTTATATAACTTGTATGTCCTGTATGTCGTGGGAGAGAAATGTGTGAAGGGTGTGTGTCGGGGGGGGGGGGGGGGGGGAAGGGAGGTTGTCAATGCCTGTGATCTAGGAACGACGGCACGTATTTCCTGGACTTTAGGGAAACTTTAATTAGGTTAAAACCAAGGTGAAGGCCGGGTGACCATAGACAATAATTTAATGAATGCAAAGATATGGCAGGACATGTTGGCCAGGAGAGATTACATAATGTTGACCAGGAGAGATAAAATAATGTTGGCCAGGACAGTTAACATAATGTTGGCCAGTAGAGATAAAATAATGTTGGCCAGGACAGTTAACATAATGTTGGCCAGTAGAGATAAAATAATGTTGGCCAGGAGAGATTACATAATGTTGGCCAGGAGAGATAAAATAATGTTGGCCAGGACAGTTAACATAATGTTGGCCAGTAGAGATAAAATAATGTTGGCCAGGAGAGATTACATAATGTTGGCCAGGAGAGATAAAATAATGTTGGCCAGGACAGTTAACATAATGTTGGCCAGTAGAGATAAAATAATGTTGGCCAGGACAGTTAACATAATGTTGGCCAGTAGAGATAAAATAATGTTGGCCAGGAGAGATTACATAATGTTGGCCAGGAGAGATAAAATAATGTTGGCCAGGACAGTTAACATAATGTTGGCCAGTAGAGATAAAATAATGTTGGCCAGGAGAGATTACATAATGTTGGCCAGGAGAGATAAAATAATGTTGGCCAGGAGAGATGAAATAATGTTGGCCAGGAGAGATAAAATAATGTTGGCCAGGAGAGATGAAATAATGTTGGCCAGGAGAGATAAAATAATGTTGGCCAGGAGAGATGAAATAATGTTGGCCAGGAGAGATAAAATAATGTTGGCCAGGACAGTTAACATAATGTTGGCCAGTAGAGATAAAATAATGTTGGCCAGGAGAGATTACATAATGTTGGCCAGGAGAGATAAAATAATGTTGGCCAGGAGAGATGAAATAATGTTGGCCAGGAGAGATAAAATAATGTTGGCCAGGACAGTTAACATAATGTTGGCCAGTAGAGATAAAATAATGTTGGCCAGGAGAGATTACATAATGTTGGCCAGGAGAGATAAAATAATGTTGGCCAGGAGAGATGAAATAATGTTGGCCAGGAGAGATAAAATAATGTTGGCCAGGACAGTTAACATAATGTTGGCCAGTAGAGATAAAATAATGTTGGCCAGGAGAGATTACATAATGTTGGCCAGGAGAGATAAAATAATGTTGGCCAGGAGAGATGAAATAATGTTGGCCAGGAGAGATAAAATAATGTTGGCCAGGAGAGATGAAATAATGTTGGCCAGGAGAGATAAAATAATGTTGGCCAGGAGAGATGAAATAATGTTGGCCAGGAGAGATAAAATAATGTTGGCCAGGAGAGATGAAATAATGTTGGCCAGGAGAGATAAAATAATGTTGGCCAGGAGAGATAAAATAATGTTGGCCAAGAGAGATGAAATAATGTTGGCCAAGAGAGATGAAATAATGTTGGCCAGGAGAGATTACATAATGTTGGCCAGGGGAGATAAAATAATGTTGGCCAGGAGAGATAAAATAATGTTGGCCAAGAGAGATGACATGATGTTGGCCAGGAGAGATAAAATAATGTTGGCCAGGACAGTTAACATAATGTTGGCCAGTAGAGATAAAATAATGTTGGCCAGGAGATATAAAATAATGTTGGCCAGGAGAGATGACATAATGTTGGCCAGGAGAGATAAAATAATGTTGGCCAGGAGAGATAAAATAATGTTGGCCAGGAGAGATGAAATAATGTTGGCCATGAAATAATGTTGGCCAGGAGAGATGACAATGTTGGCCAGGAGAGATAAAATAATGTTGGCCAGGAGAGATGAAATAATGTTGGCCAGGAGAGATGAAATAATGTTGGCCAGGAGCGATGACATGATGTTGGCCAGGAGAGATAAAAATAAAAGCAAGAATAAATATCTTAATTTATCTTATAAAGTCTGAACACACAAAAAACAAGATTTACAATTAGAGACTACAATTTTTAAGCGTAAGCTTTTTAAATGTGTTTCTGTTGCGTAGGCAGCCAACAGACATGGACGGCGAAAGTCCAAGGAACACTGACCACACTGACCACACCTCTTCCCTTGAGATGCTGGACGTCAACCTCCACAACCCATTAATAGATGGACACACCAATGTCAAGGTCATTGATGGTGTGGCCAGCACTAAAGCCCTACAGGAACCTGGTACTGTTCTCCGCCAAACGTTTTTTTTTTTTTGTTAACTTTGAACAAGGCAGGACAACTAATTAATTATGTTGAAATTATTTTCATTGTTTTTAGCTGTTGGCCAGTCTATGGGACCGAGACAGATCCGAAAAAATATTTTTGTGATTAGCATCGCCTTCGTCTTTCTCTTCACTGCTTTTAACTGTATGGCAAACCTTCAAACGAGTTTGAACAAAGAGGACGGTATGAATTTTACATAGTCTAGCATTATACAGGCCTACTTTTAAAAATAACACAACACATTTTTAGGGTAAATATTTCTAAATTTTATACATAAAAATGTGAATATCAAAATGCATATCTGATGAGGCATGTATTATATTGTATTGTTTCATTTCAGGTGTTGGAGCTTGGAGCTTGTCCACGATTTATGTCAGTTTAATTGTTTCCTGCATGTTCCTGCCAAATTTTATCATTTCTAGATTGGGCTGCAAGTGGACGATACCGATCTCAATGGTTGGATATATTCTATACATGTGTGCTAATTTTTATGCTGTCAAGGGTGAGTGGCTCTCAATATAATTCGATTATTGCATGCGTTCATTTAAATTCTAGAATTGCATGCGTTCATTAAAATAATGTTGGAAAATTTTGAAAAATAAAAGCTTTCCTATTTGTTCCGTGTAGGAACTATGATCCCAGCATCCATCATCTTGGGTGTTGGAGCAGCCCCTCTATGGATATCCAAGTGTATTTATCTGACACAGCTGGGCGTCTGGTATGCCAAATTGACAAAACAAGACCAAGATGGAATCATCAATATGTTTTTTGGTTTCTTTTTTTCTTTTTTCCAGACTTGTAAGTAGAACGTTTCAAGACACGTATAGAATGTTTTACAAAGTTCAAAACTATTCTATTCTTTTTAATCTACAAGCTTTTATTTAGTTTGCAACGTCCGTATGTTTGTTTGTTTGTGGGCAAATCTTGTAACTCCATTTTGAACAACTTTTAATGCAGCGATTTCTTTCAAATTTTCCAGATTTATTTGGGGGCAATGCATGAATATCTATTTTTAAATCTGATTTTACATTGGATTAGTCATTAAATGTAATTAAACGTATTCGAAAATAAGGGGAGATAACAAGATTAAATACTAACAACCATTCGATATATTACTATAAGAAGGGGAAATAACTAATTAAACTCGATCCACCGATGACCTGAGCTGTGGTTCACGCTGAATTTTAAAGATATTCAAAAATAAAAGGGGAGATAACCAAACTAATTTTAAAAAAAAACTTTATTATAGCAAACTTTTAACTGGAATGAAAATAAGAAAAGAAACACATATTCTTTCATAAAAAGCTTTTGTCGCACATGAGATTCCCATCATTTTTCGCATCCAAAGCTTTTAATAAAGAATACATGTTTATTTATTTTCTTATTTTAAAGTTGTAAATTTTTAGTTTCTGCTATTTATATTTATGGAATAGAACAGGTCCAGGTGTTTACTTTTAGTGAACTACATTTAAAATAAAATACTAAAATGCTTTATTCCTGGAGCATCAATTAAGACAATCTTCTGCAGCCCAGATATGGGGGAACCTCATCTCCTCCCTTGTTTTTGCCCCTGACAAAAGTAACACGACAACAGATACCAAATATTGTGGGGCGCGTTTTTGTCCAGAGGTCACTAAGACAAATGGGTCAGATAACTTTTCACAGACAACAGACAAGGTAGGTTCAGATAACTTTTCACAGACATCAGACAAGGTAGGTTCAGATAACTTTTCACAGACATCAGACAAGGTAGGTTCAGATAACTTTTCACAGACAAGGTAGGTTCAGATAACTTTTCAGACATCAGACAAGGTAGGTTCAGATAGCTTTTCAGACATCAGACAAGGTAGGTTCAGATAACTTTTCACAGACATCAGACAAGGTAGGTTCAGATAACTTTTCACAGACATCAGACAAGGTAGGTTCAGATAACTTTTCACAGACATCAGACAAGGTAGGTTCAGATAACTTTTCACAGACATCTGACAAGGTAGGTTCAGATAACTTTACATAGACATTAGACAAGATAGGTTCAGATAACTGTAAATAGACGTGTCAGATTTGAAAAACAATTCAATAGATTACACAATGCTAAAGAAATGTGTCTTGATCTCCAGGTGTACACTGTCTGTGGAATTTACCTGGCGTCTGCTGTCATTGCTGTCATCATTGTGTCCATCTTTCTGGACCGGATAGTCCTGGATAAAGAGACAAGTGAAGAGGACAGAAAACTGAGCCCCAAACTTTTGATCTCCACCTTCCGCCATCTGTTCAGTTCACCCTTGCAAGCCTTGTTGGTTCCTCTTACAGTCTACAGTGGTTTAGAGCAGGCATTTTTTTGGGGAGATTTTACACAGGTCAAATTGTTTTTAAATTTGTAATCAAATAAAGTTATGTTAAGTCAGGCCTAATTATTGACTAATTTAACGTCAAAAATAGAAAAGATTTTTAAAAAAAAACCAGCTGAAAATCATATCTATTAAGAGGAAAAGTGAGAGAAATGGATGAATAGATTTTTTTTGGATTAATGATTAATGACACAGTTTTTAACAGCTTAACCAACACTCTTTTTAATTAACTTAATCGTTAACATATAATTACTTCACCTAAACCCTCCTGTACAGGCCTATATCAGCTGTACCCTGGGTATTTGGAACCTTGGCTACGTTATGATATGTTACGGTGTTGCTGATGCCCTTTGCTCCATTCTCTTTGGTCGTCTGGTTGTTTACATTGGTCACATCCCATTTTTTATCTTCGGTGAGCTCCTACACATTTTTAAACTGTTTTTTTACACGCAACATTAAAATATATGGAGAATAATTTTTGTTGTATGCATTTTTAAAATCTAAAAATATATCCACTTAAAAATTAGAAACCATCAAATGTTTTGTTGTCCCCAGTTTTTATAAATCACGGAGCTTTGCAGATTGCATTTTTGTTGTGGAGACCCCAGGAAAACCAGCAAGTTATTTTCTATGTATGTGCTGCATTGTGGGGCATGGGAGATGCTGTCATGCAGACACAGCTCAATGGTAAGTTTTTACTTCATACCTCAACGCAGGCCAATTAAATATTGATAAACTAAAATCAGCTTATTTAGGCCTGTTTAAATTAAGTTTTAATAAAGTAATTAAATCCTTGATAAGGAGAGTTTTTATTTTATTATTGTCTATGGTTTTTTCAGCACTTTATGGAAATTTATTTTCTGACAAAGCTGAGGCAGGTTTCGCTAACTACCGCTTGTGGGAGTCGTTGGGTTTTGCAGTGACATACGCCTACAATGATTATCTGTGCACAGACACAAAACTGTATGTGTGTTTGGGTGTTCTAGGCACATCTGTCATTTGTTATTTTATTGTTGAACTCATGTCATGGCGAGCAAAGAAAACCAGTTTAGATATAACAAAACAGTGATTCTCATAATGTGCAATAAATATATTCAAATGAATGCCTGAGTAAAGTATCTATTATTTAACTGCTATGAAGTTGGAGAATTCAGTGCAGTGGCACTGGTAGGCATGGCTAGCTGGAAGTGACGAGGTGAAATGAGAACAAACAGAAAAACTTTGAAGATAAATTTATTTCACCAAGTAGACAACAACAAATGTATAAATAAATAAATATTTATACAAACATAAATATGTATTAAGCTTCAATTTACAAGATTTAACACTAAAGATCTAATCAATGGAAAATGTTGATTGAATGAACCTGTCCCAACACTCATAAAAACTAGTGCTAGATATAATTATAAACCTGCTAGATATAATTATAAACCTACTTCTGCATTTTCTCAAGGGGAACAACTGGAAAGTTATTGATTTCTTATTTTTATATTAAATCTCCTTTCCCTTTTAATATCAAGCCAAAGGCTTACAGCTCTAAATATTTCAAATATTTAATTTTGAGCAGAAGAGTGCAGCCATTTGATATTCAATGCCTTAATGCCTGGCCAACAATCTCGCCATGATCTGTCAATCAATCCTCACTGGCCATACATAAATGATGACATGGCAGCACATGTTGCTGGTTGTTATCATGTCCATCCTGCTCACTCACTGTACCGTTATCATGTCCATCCTGCTCACTCACTGCACCGTTATCATGTCCATCCTGCTCACTCACTGTACCAGTGTAGAATTGACTTTTGTTGGCTCACTCACTGTACCAGTGGAAAATCGACTTGTGTTGGCTCAGAAGACTCCAGTCCCATGGACTTAACTAAGTTTTGATTTTACACTAACTCATCTGCATTTGAAACTATAATTTTACGTAAAGTTAATTTGTAAAAAGTAATTTAACCCTAATGGTAATATGTGAGCTTAATGGGTAAGAAATATTTTTTTCCTGCAGTAAAAACACACACCTTGTATAAAATCTTCTACATGATTGCTAGCAGTGGAATGTTTAGAAGATTAAAAGAGCACATACAAATGTATAAAACAGATTGACAATACTAAAGTGTGTAAGATTTACTTGGCTAGATTTTAAGCACTGAGTCAAGGTTAAACTTGGACGACAGAGTAGATACAAGCTGGCATCCACACAATGGATTACAAGCAACAACTGGCATCCACACAATGGATTACAAGCAACAACTGGCATCCACACAATGGATTACAAGCAACAACTGGCATCCACACAATGGATTACAAGCAACAACTGGCATCCACACAATGGATTACAAGCAACAACTGGCATCCACACAATGGATTACAAGCAACAACTTGCATCCACAGATTGGAATGTTCAAGTCTTTTACATTGGGTTAGAGATGGGCTAAACAACACGTCAAACACAGCAGCAAAATATTCTGGGAACAAAAAACTTGACGCAAACAACGAAATGCTTTACAGTAAGTAGTTTTTCAAGTTTGATATCATTACAATCACACAGAGGTTTGATATCATGACATTCTAACAGAGATTTGATAATCACAAAGAGATCACAAAAAAGAGAAAAATCTCTGTGTACTTAAATAGCCATGAATTAATCGTGACAGAAAAAGATTGTTTCACAAATAGTCAAGTATGGCTGAGAACAAAACTGTTGTACAAGGCTGAGCCAATCATGATTTAGCATTGATCACAGCAATGATTGGCTGAGAACAAAATTGTTGTACTAGGCTGAGCCAATCATGATTTAGCATTGATCACAGCACTGATGCCTACAAGTTTGCCTACATAAACTTGACAAATGTATATCAAATTTCTGTAGCCTCAGCACAAATATTTACAAAAAAAAAAAAAAAAAAGGTTATTATGAATTTGAGCAATGAAATATGCATAGATGTCTAGCTTAGAGAGAGAAAAAGAGATTTTTATTTGCTTTACAGCAACATTTGAAATCCATTTAAAGAGATGATCATTTGCTTTACAGCAACATTTGAAATCCATTTAAAGAGATGATCATTTGCTTTACAGCAACATTTGAAATCCATTTAAAGAGATGATCATTTGCTTTACAGCAACATTTGAAATCCATTTAAAGAGATGATCATTTCCTTTACAACAACATTTGAAATCAATGGTTCTGATGTGATGTAACAATTTGACCAACATATTAGATTCAAAGGCTGGACATCCCAATGACCATTGGACCAGTCCAGCCAACTTAGTGCCTTCACATCAGTTGTAAGCTGTCAATAAACAAGGACACAGACATGAATCAAATGACCAGTAAGTGGTCAGAGATAACCAAATGTTTGAAAGTTCCTCCAGAATTTCTTGGGGCCGTTTCCTACAGTAGGCTGTACAAACTGTTAGCAGAGTGTAATGGGAAGTGTCTGACACACACCATGGGTGACTGAAAGAGTGTCTGACACACACACACACAGTGGGTGACTGAAAGAGTGTCTGACACACACACACACAGTGGGTGACTGAAAGAGTGTCTGACACACACACACACACACAGTGGGTGAGTGACCCCAAGGCCAGCCAACATCACAACACAAATATTGCACTAAAGCATCAAAAGATCAGTCTAACACTTTCCTGGGGTTAAATCTCACTAACTCGTCACAACAACTGGAAGTTCTAAATAATTTATTTTACACAACCTTAGGTTGGGTCCTAACTGTGTTGGGTATAGTAGCTTTTGGGTGTGGGGGCACATGGGTGTGGGGGCTCATGGGCGGGACACCTGGGTGTGGGGGGCACATGGGTGTGGGGGTCATGGGTGTTGGGGGCACATGGGTGTGGGGGTCATGGGTGTGGGGGGGTCATGGGTGTTGGGGGCTCATGGGTGTGGGGGTGCATGGGTGTGGGGGGTCATGGGTGTGGGGGGGGTCATGGGTGTGGGGGGCACATGGGTGTGGGGGGGGGGTCATGGGTGTGGGGGCACATGACAGGTGGTTTATATCACTGGGCATGTGTTAGGATGGTGCTCAGTTTTCTAGATATACAAGTTACATACATATCTGCTTAATTTTGACATTATGCAGTCAGTTATTGTACATTCCATAGAGCAGGTAATGAGGAATTGGTCTGACCAAATCAGGTGGTACAAGACTGGTTAAACATTCTGGGCACAAAAGATGTTTCTATATCATAATCACACGACTCTGGCAGATCTCTTTAATGAAAGAGCTGTGACCACGTGATATACTGACCACGTGATATACTGACCACGTGATATACTGACCACGTGATATATTGACCACGTGATATACACTCCACCACATCTTGTCTAGCCGGTATTTTGGGTTGACACACCCTACAGTGTGCTCAGACATGTGGACTTGTTTTGGTGACCTTTTTCAACAGTTCACAACATTGTGGGCAGTCTAACATCCAAAACAGGACAAAATCCACTTTAATACCCCAACAACCTAACAGGAAACTACATTTATGGCCAGCTAAGTGCCTGGTGTAAGACAGTCAAAATATTCATAGTACATCTGTGGTTCAGAGAATTAATTCACTCAATAATATAGTCTGTGTTACTATTTCTGAGTAAATTGAATAAAACAAAAGATCACAACATCATACCTAAAGATTTTTACATATAATCTTTTATCATATAATCTAGCTAAATCCCTTGACTTTTATTTTTTTCTAGTAAAGATATTGCCAATATTTGCTTTAGAGGTCGTGTCCTTGATCTTTGACATTACCGATGCCTTGAGGTCATCTGTTGGAGCAGGGGTCAAGGTTCTAGAAAATAAAATAAAAATTGACTTTTCAATCTAATTGAAGAAAAAAAAATTGACTCTAAATCTGAGAATCAACCATAAGTTATCCCATCACCACATATGAAAGTAAGTGCACAACAAACTGACCTCTCACCAAAATGACCTCACACCAAAATGACCTCACACCTAAGTGAGCTGACACCTATGTGACCACACACCCAGGGAGCAGACCTATCGTCAGCTAGTGGATGACTGACCTGTGGTCAGCTAGTGGATGACTGACCTGTGGTCAGCTAGTGGATGACTGACCTATCGTCAGCTAGTGGATGACTGACCTATCCTCAGCTAGTGGATGACTGACCTGTGGTCAGCTAGTGGACTGACCTGTGGTCAGCTAGTGGATGACTGACCTGTGGCCAGCTAGTGGATGACTGACCTATCGTCAGCTAGTGGATGACTGACCTATCGTCAGCTAGTGGATGACTGACCTGTGGTCAGCTAGTGGATGACTGACCTATCGTCAGCTAGTGGATGACTGACCTATCGTCAGCTAGTGGATGACTGACCTGTGGCCAGCTAGTGGATGACTGACCTTTGGTCAGCTAGTGGATGACTGACCTGTGGCCAGCTAGTGGATGACTGACCTGTGGTCAGCTAGTGGATGACTGACCTGTGGTCAGCTAGTGGATGACTGACCTATCGTCAGCTAGTGGATGACTGACCTATCCTCAGCTAGTGGATGACTGACCTGTGGTCAGCTAGTGGACTGACCTGTGGCCAGCTAGTGGATGACTGACCTATCGTCAGCTAGTGGATGACTGACCTATCGTCAGCTAGTGGATGACTGACCTATCGTCAGCTAGTGGATGACTGACCTGTGGTCAGCTAGTGGATGACTGACCTATCGTCAGCTAGTGGATGACTGACCTATCCTCAGCTAGTGGATGACTGACCTGTGGTCAGCTAGTGGACTGACCTGTGGTCAGCTAGTGGATGACTGACCTGTGGCCAGCTAGTGGATGACTGACCTATCGTCAGCTAGTGGATGACTGACCTATCGTCAGCTAGTGGATGACTGACCTGTGGTCAGCTAGTGGATGACTGACCTATCGTCAGCTAGTGGATGACTGACCTATCCTCAGCTAGTGGATGACTGACCTGTGGTCAGCTAGTGGACTGACCTGTGGCCAGCTAGTGGATGACTGACCTATCGTCAGCTAGTGGATGACTGACCTATCGTCAGCTAGTGGATGACTGACCTATCGTCAGCTAGTGGATGACTGACCTGTGGTCAGCTAGTGGATGACTGACCTATCGTCAGCTAGTGGATGACTGACCTATCGTCAGCTAGTGGATGACTGACCTGTGGCCAGCTAGTGGATGACTGACCTTTGGTCAGCTAGTGGATGACTGACCTGTGGCCAGCTAGTGGATGACTGACCTTTGGTCAGCTAGTGGATGACTGACCTGTGGTCAGCTAGTGGATGATGACTGACCTGTGGCCAGCTAGTGGATGACTGACCTGTGGTCAGCTAGTGGACTGACCTGTGGTCAGCTAGTGGATGACTGACCTGTGGTCAACTAGTGGATGACTGACCTGTGGCCAGCTAGTGGATGACTGACCTGTGGTCAGCTAGTGGATGACTGACCTGTGGCCAGCTAGTGGATGATGACTGACCTGTGGCCAGCTAGTGGATGACTGACCTGTGGTCAGCTAGTGGACTGACCTGTGGTCAGCTAGTGGATGACTGACCTGTGGTCAGCTAGTGGATGACTGACCTGTGGTCAGCTAGTGGATGACTGACCTGTGGCCAGCTAGTGGATGACTGACCTGTGGTCAGCTAGTGGACTGACCTGTGGTCAGCTAGTGGATGACTGACCTGTGGTCAGCTAGTGGATGACTGACCTGTGGTCAGCTAGTGGATGACTGACCTGTGGTCAACTAGTGGATGACTGACCTGTGGACAGCTAGTGGATGACTGACCTGTGGCCAGCTAGTGGATGACTGACCTGTGGTCAGCTAGTGGATGACTGACCTGTGGCCAGCTAGTGGATGATGACTGACCTGTGGCCAGCTAGTGGATGACTGACCTGTGGTCAGCTAGTGGACTGACCTGTGGTCAGCTAGTGGATGACTGACCTGTGGTCAGCTAGTGGATGACTGACCTGTGGCCAGCTAGTGGATGACTGACCTGTGGCCAGCTAGTGGATGACTGACCTGTGGTCAGCTAGTGGATGACTGACCTGTGGCCAGCTAGTGGATGACTGACCTGTGGCCAGCTAGTGGATGATGACTGACCTGTGGCCAGCTAGTGGATGACTGACCTGTGGTCAGCTAGTGGACTGACCTGTGGTCAGCTAGTGGATGACTGACCTGTGGTCAGCTAGTGGATGACTGACCTGTGGTCAGCTAGTGGATGACTGACCTGTGGTCAGCTAGTGGATGACTGACCTGTGGCCAGCTAGTGGATGACTGACCTGTGGTCAGCTAGTGGATGACTGACCTGTGGTCAGCTAGTGGATGACTGACCTGTGGTCAGCTAGTGGATGACTGACCTGTGGTCAGCTAATGGATGACTGACCTGTGGTCAGCTAATGGATGACTGACCTGTGGTCAGCTAGTGGATGACTGACCTGTGGTCAGCTAGTGGATGACTGACCTGTGGTCAGCTAGTGGATGACCGACCTGTGGTCAGCTAATGGATGACTGACCTGGCTTCCAACTTGTTCTGGTAGTCTCTGATCATGGCCGCCACGACCTCCTGATGGTCAGCAGCGATGGCCTCCATGTCCAGCTTCAGACACCTCAGGCCGGGCAGCATGGCCTCAGCAATCAGCTGTTCACTTAGGACTGTCTCCAGTTAAGGTGTAGAGAAACTACGCTAACCTACAAGCTAACTCACAAAGTAAGATGGGCTAAGGCTAAGGCCAGTCACGTAAACTCAATGAGCTAAGGCCAGTCATGTAAACTCAATGAGCCAGGGCCAGTCACGTAAACTCAATGAGCCAGGGCCAGTCATGTAAACTCAATGAGCTAAAGCTAGTCATGTAAACTCAATGAGCTAAGGCCAGCCATGTAAACTCAATGAGCTAAGGCCAGTCATGTAAACTCAATGAGCTAAGGCCAGTCATGTAAACTCAATGAGCTAAGGCCAGTCATGTAAACTCAATGAGCTAAAGCCAGTCATGTAAACTCAATGAGTTAAAGCCACTCATGTAAACTCAATGAGCTAAGGCCAGTCATGTAAACTCAATGAGCTAAGGCCAGTCATGTAAACTCAATGAGCTAAGGCCAGTCATGTAAACTCAATGAGCTAAGGCCAGTCATGTAAACTCAATGAGTTAAAGCCAGTCATGTTAACTCAATGAGCTAAAGCTAGTCATGTAAACTCAATGAGCTAAGGCCAGTCATGTAAACTCAATGAGCTAAGGCCAGTCATGTAAACTCAATGAGCTCAGGCGAGTGGTATAAAGGATACAGCAACACGAGAGGGCGCTGTAGGCCTCAAACAACTGCATGGCGATGTCCGTTCTCTTGGTGTCGTTGGTGCGGTTGTTGTTGGCCGTTGCCATGGCAGCCAGTCGGGGCAGGATGACTGAAATAAACAAACAAAATATGACGTCCATATGTGGAGCTATGTGGGCCAGGATGACTGAAATAAACAAACAAAATATGACGTCCATGTGTGGAGCTATGTGGGCCATAAACAAAATATGACGTCCATTTGTGGAGCTATGTGGGCCAGGATGACTGAAATAAACAAAATATGACGTCCATTTGTGGAGCTATGTGGGCCAGGATGACTGAAATAAACAAACAAAATATGACGTCCATTTGTGGAGCTATGTGGGCCAGGATGACTGAAATAAACAAACAAAATATGACGTCCATTTGTGGAGCTATGTGGGCCAGGATGACTGAAATAAACAAAATATGACGTCCATGTGTGGAGCTATGTGGGCCAGGATGACTGAAATAAACAAAATATGACGTCCATTTGTGGAGCTATGTGGGCCAGGATGACTGAAATAAACAAAATATGACGTCCATGTGTGGAGCTATGTGGGCCAGGATGACTGAAATAAACAAAATATGACGTCCATGTGTGGAGCTATGTGGGCCAGGATGACTGAAATAAACAAAATATGACGTCCATTTGTGGAGCTAAGTGGGCCAGGATGACTGAAATAAACAAACAAAATATGACGTCCATTTGTGGAGCTATGTGGGCCAGGATGACTGAAATAAACAAACAAAATATGACGTCCATTTGTGGAGCTATGTGGGCCAGGATGACTGAAACAAACAAAATATGACGTCCATGTGTGGAGCTATGTGGGCCAGGATGACTGAAACAAACAAAATATGACGTCCATTTGTGGAGCTATGTGGGCCAGGATGACTGAAATAAACAAACAAAATATGACGTCCATGTGTGGAGCTATGTGGGCCAGGATGACTGAAATAAACAAACAAAATATGACGTCCATTTGTGGAGCTGCGACAACCACGGGACAATGCTTGACTAGATCAATAGAGCTCCTACATGCAGGCTTTTCTTTCTTAGCTGGGGGAGGGGGATAGTGGGGGGGGGGGGAGAGAGAGATGCTGACGTTTACATATGCTAGCGACACAACAAAAAGTAAGAAAAGATTAACAAGGACATTATCCAATAAGCGTTAAGGGTGAGTCTGGTGGTGGTGGTGTATATAATTACAGACGACGATTCACATAGACGCGAGTTCCCATTCAAATGTGCCACTCCTTACAATTGTGCCACACAGACCCACACAGAGTACATTTTAAAAAGCAAAATAAAAAGTCGGCCCCATCTTGTACATAACACATGGGTCATAAAACATGGGTCACGTCTCATTGTGGTTAAACATGGGTCATAAAACATGGGTCATACAACATGGGTCACGTCTCATTGTGGTTAAACATGGGTCATAAAATATGGGTCACCTCTCATTGTGGTTCAGCATGGGTCATAAAATATGGGTCATAAAACATGGGTCATATAAGATGCATCACGTCTCATTGTGATTAAACATGGGTCATACAACATGGGTCACGTCTCATTGTGGTTAAACATGGGTCATAAAACATGGGTCATATAAGATGCATCACGTCACATTGTGGTTAAACATGGGTCATAAAACATGGGTCACGTCTCATTGTGGTTAAACATGGGTCATAAAACATGGGTCACGTCTCATTGTGGTTAAACATGGGTCATAAAACATGGGTCACGTCTCATTGTGGTTAAACATGGGTCACTATCATGTTGTAAAAAGTCGGCCCAGTATGGACGACGCGCGACGATGTATATCGTGTTACTTGATTAAAGAAAGCCAGTCAAAACCTAGGGGTTAATCAAGTGCTGGATCAATTACACCTTGTCTTGATCACGTTCACAGAAGGAAGGTCTTTATCGGGTACACGGAAGGAAGGTCTTTATCGGGTACACGGAAGGAAGGTCTTTATCAGGTAACGGAAGGAAGGTCTTTATCGGGTACACGGAAGGAAGGTCTTTATCGGGTACACGGAAGGTCATTATCACATTCACAGAAAAAAGGTCTTAATCGGGTAAACAGAAGGAAGGTCTTCAGTATGTATACGGTAGAGAAGGCAGAAGGCCCTTATCATATTAAAGGATCAGAGGTCTTCACTCATCACGGCATTCTTAAATGGGAAAAGGGAAATATTCTTTATCAAGTCAATAAAAGAAACACGTCATAATACCAAGTATTCAAGGATAAAGGGGCATCACGTGATCATCTCATGACATCAAATCATCTCATTTCATCAGCGACAGCTCTTGGGGTATTCTTGGTAGTGCTTGAAATAGTAGGAAGCTTGTTTACATCTTGTGACGGTCACATTAGAAAGCGGCCACATTAGGACGTCAACTCTAAACAAGACGTTCACATTAAGACGTCAACCCTAAACAAGACGGCCACATTAGGACGTCAACTCTAAACAAGACGGCCACATTAAGACGTCAACTCTAAATAAGACGGCCACATTAGGACGTCAACTCTAAACAAGGCGGCCACATTAAGACGTCAACTCTAAATAAGACGGCCACATTAGGACGTCAACTCTAAACAAGGCGGCCACATTAGGACGTCAACTCTAAACAAGACGGCCACATTAAGACGTCAACTCTAAATAAGACGGCCACATTAGGACGTCAACTCTAAACAAGGCGGCCACATTAAGACGTCAACTCTAAATAAGACGGCCACATTAGGACGTCAACTCTAAACAAGACGGCCACATTAGGACGTCAACTCTAAACAAGGCGGCCACATTAGGACGTCAACTCTAAACAAGGCGGCCACATTAGGACGTCAACTCTAAACAAGACGGCCACATTAGGACGTCAACTCTAAACAAGACGGCCACATTAGGACGTCAACTCTAAACAAGACGGCCACATTAGGACGTCAACTCTAAACAAGACGGCCACATTAGGACGTCAACTCTAAACAAGAACCCTCAATTGACGATTTCTTTAAAATAAAAATGGCGTCATCCATTTGGCGTCATCCATTGGAGCAGCTGAACACGTGATCTGCCCCATCTGCCAACAACTTGGGAAAAAATATTATTTAAAACTTCATCAAAAAGAAAAAAAACCTCGATTTCCAAAGTGATCAACGTATCTTGAAGTGTCTTCTATGTAAGCTGGTCGATCAACGTATCTTGAAGTGTCTTCTATGTAAGTTGGTCGATCAACGTATCTTGAAGTGTCTTCTATGTAAGCTGGTCGATCAACGTATCTTGAAGTGTCTTCTATGTAAGCTGGTCGATCAACGTATCTTGAAGTGTCTTCTATGTAAGCTGGTCGATCAACGTATCTTGAAGTGTCTTCTATGTAAGCTGGTCGATCAACGTATCTTGAAGTGTCTTCTATGTAAGCTGGTCGATCAACGTATCTTGAAGTGTCTTCTATGTAAGCTGGTCGATCAACGTATCTTGAAGTGTCTTCTATGTAAGCTGGTCGATCAACGTATCTTGAAGTGTCTTCTATGTAAGCTGGTCGATCAACGTATCTTGAAGTGTCTTCTATGTAAGCTGGTCGATCAACGTATCTTGAAGTGTCTTCTATGTAAGCTGGTCGATCAACGTATCTTGAAGTGTCTTCTATGTAAGCTGGTCGATCAACGTATCTTGAAGTGTCTTCTATGTAAGCTGGTCGATCAACGTATCTTGAAGTGTCTTCTATGTAAGCTGGTCGATCAACGTATCTTGAAGTGTCTTCTATGTAAGCTGGTCGATCAACGTATCTTGAAGTGTCTTCTATGTAAGCTGGTCGATCAACGTATCTTGAAGTGTCTTCTATGTAAGCTGGTCGATCAACGTATCTTGAAGTGTCTTCTATGTAAGCTGGTCGATCAACGTATCTTGAAGTGTCTTCTATGTAAGCTGGTCGATCAACGTATCTTGAAGTGTCTTCTATGTAAGCTGGTCGATCAACGTATCTTGAAGTGTCTTCTATGTAAGCTGGTCGATCAACGTATCTTGAAGTGTCTTCTATGTAAGCTGGTCGATCAACGTATCTTGAAGTGTCTTCTATGTAAGCTGGTCGATCAACGTATCTTGAAGTGTCTTCTATGTAAGCTGGTCGATCAACGTATCTTGAAGTGTCTTCTATGTAAGCTGGTCGATCAACGTATCTTGAAGTGTCTTCTATGTAAGCTGGTCGATCAACGTATCTTGAAGTGTCTTCTATGTAAGCTGGTCGATCAACGTATCTTGAAGTGTCTTCTATGTAAGCTGGTCGATCAACGTATCTTGAAGTGTCTTCTATGTAAGCTGGTCGATCAACGTATCTTGAAGTGTCTTCTATGTAAGCTGGTCGATCAACGTATCTTGAAGTGTCTTCTATGTAAGTTGGTCGATCAACGTATCTTGAAGTGTCTTCTATGTAAGCTGGTCGATCAACGTATCTTGAAGTGTCTTCTATGTAAGCTGGTCGATCAACGTATCTTGAAGTGTCTTCTATGTAAGCTGGTCGATCAACGTATCTTGAAGTGTCTTCTATGTAAGCTGGTCGATCAACGTATCTTGAAGTGTCTTCTATGTAAGTTGGTCGATCAACGTATCTTGAAGTGTCTTCTATGTAAGCTGGTCGATCAACGTATCTTGAAGTGTCTTCTATGTAAGCTGGTCGATCAACGTATCTTGAAGTGTCTTCTATGTAAGCTGGTCGATCAACGTATCTTGAAGTGTCTTCTATGTAAGCTGGTCGATCAACGTATCTTGAAGTGTCTTCTATGTAAGCTGGTCGATCAACGTATCTTGAAGTGTCTTCTATGTAAGCTGGTCGATCAACGTATCTTGAAGTGTCTTCTATGTAAGTTGGTCGATCAACGTATCTTGAAGTGTCTTCTATGTAAGCTGGTCGATCAACGTATCTTGAAGTGTCTTCTATGTAAGCTGGTCGATCAACGTATCTTGAAGTGTCTTCTATGTAAGCTGGTCGATCAACGTATCTTGAAGTGTCTTCTATGTAAGCTGGTCGATCAACGAATCTTGAAGTGTCTTCTATGTAAGCTGCTCGATCACAACTGATGTCACACCGTA